GCACCTTGACCCCTTCCCCATACCCCTTTCTTTAGAGCTGGCCCCCCCTGTGATTGCTCCTCGAAATCAACCTGGCTCCCTTGAACGTTCCTTCTTCATCCGAATGAAATCCACACTCACCAAGCGGGGGTTGCATGTCAAAGCTTCGGGATACAAGGTGAGTGAGGAGCTCTCTTGAGCTGACTCTGGCTCCCTCCTTCCCTGATATGACTCTCAATGCTTCCTCAGGGTCCTTTACTCCCCAATTCTCTGCCTCCATTGGACTTCTCATGACCCAGATGTTGTCTGTTCCTCTGTCCATCTATATAATAATAACTATAATAATAGTATTATTATACAATTAAAACATATAGTTATAATAAATAACTGTCCCTCTGTCCATACATATATATATCAACATTTGCATAGTGGTTACTATGTGCCAGGCACTGTGCTAAATGCTTTACAATTATTATCTCATTTGATCCTTACAACCACCCTGGGAGGTAGGTGCTATCATTATTTTTTGAGGCAATCAGGGTGAAGTGACTTGCCCAGGGTCACATAGCTAGTAAGTGTCTGAGGTCACATTTGAACTCAGGTCCTCCTGACTTTAGGCACCACCGAGTTGCCTGTGCTATCATTTTTATAGATGAGGCAACTGAGGCAAACAGAGGTTAGACTGACCCAGGGTCACACAGCTAATAAGTGTCTGAGGCCAGTCTTGAATTCAGATCTTCCTGACTCCAGGCCTGGTGCTCTACCCACTCTGCCATCTAGCTGCTATATCCTCTGTCCATCTGTAATTCCTCTGCCCAGTGATGGTCAATGCTCCCAGCTACACTCTTCTGCCCAACCTGCTGTGGTCCTCGTTCAGCTATACATTCGTGGACTTGGAGTCAACAGGCCTGGTTTCAATTGCAGGTTCAGCCCCTTACAAATCAGAGACAGGAAAATCACTTTGTTTCTCTGGCTCAGCTTCTTCAGTTGTAAAACAAGGGTATTATACAGTAGCATAAGGTTCCCTTCAGTTCAGTGTTCCTATCCCTTCCTGGCCTCACCCCTACACTACCCAACCGTGTGTCCCAAATTATCTCTCACAGGTAATTCACGTGACTGGTCGGCTTAGGACTCAGCTATTGACAGCCCGACGAGGCCAAGCATTGGGTCTTGTCGCCTTAGGGCACACCTTGCCCCCAGCCCCCCTCAGTGAACTCCCCCTGCACGGCCACACACTTGTCTTTCGCCTCAGCCTGGCCTTGACCATCATCTCCTGTGAGAGCAGGTGGGAAGAGTGAGAAGTGAAGGGATGGGTGAGGTGTGGAGACTGAGAAATGGGGTTAGAAGACATGGGTGGGAAATAGATTTGGGTAAGGAGATGGGGACAGAGAAATGAAAGAAAAAAAGATAGGGAGGTGGGGCAGAGTAAGTTATAAATAGTAGCATGGAGGATGAAGAGATGGGGATATGGGGTTAGAATGATGGGAAATGGAGGAAATATAAAGAATGGATTACTGCAGGTAGAAAGCAGGAGTAGTGAGATGGGAAGAGATATAAGCATGAGGAGGTGGAATGGAGGGATGGAATGGGAAGTTAGGGGATGAGAGTGGGGCTAGGGATAAAGACAGTAGGGAAGTAAGAATGGAAAGATGTAAATTTGGAAATGGGTAATAATGGGGATAGAAGGGTGGAAGACAAAGGCAGAAATAGGAAATGGGGAAACGAAAAATGGAATATGGAGAGGTGGGCATTGGTAGAAAATGGATAGAAGATCCTTGAAGTGGGGATGGAGAGACGGAGAAAAGAAATGAAGGATGGAGAGACGGATTTGAGAAACAGAGGAGGGATAGATGTGACAAACAAGTCAAAGAAGGAAACACATGGAGCTAGATGAAGAATGGATAGGTGGCAATAGATGGGAAGTTGGAGATAAAGAAATTAAGGGATGGGGATGAATCTGAAGGACAGGGAGTTGGAGATGAGGAGATGGATGAAGGAGCTTTAGTGGGGAAAGAAGAGAGATGGATGGCTAAGATGGTCCATGGCTATTTGGGGATAGAGAGATGATTATGGAGGGATGGGGGATGCAGAGATGGGGTTGGAGAATGGAGATATTGAGAATGGAAGATGAGGGGCTGAAGGGGATGGAGGTGGACAGACTGAAGATAAAGAGATGGGGAAGGGGAAATAAATGAAAAATGGAAAGGTCAGAATGTTCAGTTCTTGTTGCAACAGATTAAAAAGGACATTAATAAGCTAGAGTGTCCAAAAGAGAACAACTAGGATGATGAAGGGTCTTGAATCAATGCCATAGGAGGACTGATTGGAAGAACAGGAAATATATAGCCTGGAGAAGATTCAAGGGGCATATAATTGTTATGTTGAAATATTTGAAGAGCTATCGTGGAAGAGGGCCTAGATTTGACCCCAGAGGGGCAGATCCAGGAATGAATTCAAGGTGCAAAAAAGCAAATTTAGTCCTGACATGGGGGAAAACGTAGTAGTTAGAGCTGACCAAAAGAAGAATGGGATGCCTTGGGAGGTCTTCACTGGGGGTCTCTGTGAAGACTGGATAGCCATTTGTCAGATACATCTGAGTCGAAATTTTTTTCAGGTGTGGGTTGGAGTTGATGGTTGCTGAGGTCTTTTTCAATGTTCAGATTATGATTCTGCAAGTGGAAAAAGAAGGATGGAAAGAAGAGAATAGGACGACAGGGAAAGAGAGATGGATGAAGGCAAAGAGATGGATGGAGAGAAGATTGGGGGATGGAGGGTGGAAAGGTGGCCTATGGAGAGAAAGGTTGAGGGATAAGGAAAAGAGAGATAGAGATGGGAGATGGAAGATGAGATGAAGTAAAAGAGGGTTAGAGAGATGGGAGGAAAGATGGGGGTTGAAGAGAGGAGATGGGGATGTCTCATTCTAATTCACTCCATCTTGGTCCCTGGCAGGATTAGTGACTACATGGATGTGGGCCCCTCAGAGCTGATTGGACGAAGTTGCTACCAGTATATCCACGGGGAGGACGCGGCTGGAATCCGCCAGAGCCACCTGGACTGTGCGTGAACCCCCTCTACCCCTCCACTGACCCCTAACTCCCGGAGCCCACTGTGCTCCCCCCATCCAGTTATCAATGTCCGTGGGGAATTCCCTGCTTAGGTCTTACCCCAGTAGCCCACTGCACCTTCAGTACTGTTCATCCTCATTCCCCTTCAGAGGAATCCTTAAGTAGCCAGGACAGAAGTTGAGCCAGGAATCTTCTTCCTGTCCCCCTGAAAATCTTTAAGATTCCTTTCTCTAGAGGTGTCTCTACCTCTCTGATTCTTACTCTGCTGCTCTCTTTTCCATCTTTATCTGTTTGCATCTTCCTTTATATTCTTGTTTCTCGGTCTTACGTTGTCTCTTTGTCTCTCTCCACATCTCTTTCTCTTCTCATTTCTGATTGTCCCCCTCTACCTCTGTCTCTCCCCATCCATGTCTCCCTGATCTCTGCTTTGACGCCCCCCGTTTCTCTGCCCATCTTTCCCCTTCCATCTTTGATCTGCTCTGCATCTCTCCCCCTCCCCCCCCGCCCCCGTGTGTTTCCCTGCTCCCTCCTCTGTCTCTCAATCCCCACTTTGATCCATACTTGTCTCTGCCTTGGCCTTCCCCTCTTGGGCCCAGTGCTGGACAAAGGGCAGGTGGTGACAGGCTATTACCGATGGCTGCAGAGGGCTGGAGGCTTCATCTGGCTCCAGTCCGTGGCCACGGTGGCCATCAGTGGCAAGAGCCCAGGCGAGCGCCACGTGGTCTGGGTCAGCTACATACTCAGGTGAGGAAGGCCTGAGCCACTGTCTGGGTGGTAGGGCAGGGACAGACTCAGTCACCGGGAAGGAGGAAACTTTCCATCTATTTAAGACAAAACTAATTGCACCATCCGGTTCTCTCCAGTGGGGCAGCAAACCCAGAGCTAGAGTGCAGGGCCCACCCTGGGGAGCTGGAGAAATGGTCCTGGGGCCCTGAAAGGTTCCTGAAGGGGGTCACCCCAGTTAGGGCTGTCAGCTGTGGAAGACTAGGCTCCCCTTTCCCCAAACCCCCTCTAAGAACCTGGGACCCTGGCACCTGAGACCTCAGGAAGTGAGGGGGAAGGATGAGTGCCAGGGATACCTGGATTGTGACCATTGGCCTCTTATCCACAGTCAAGTGGAAAGCAGCCACATGGCCCTGGATGCTCTCCAGCTCCCCAGTACCACCCCCCAAGAGGACCTGTCAGATCCAGAACCTGACATCAAAGGTACCCGGGATGTAACTGTAAAGATCCTATGCTATCAGCTCTGGAGGGTAGGCAGGGTCAGGGAGGGGACAGGACCCTAAATTCTACCCCTTCTCCACAGCGTGATTCCTATATCCCACTCATTCCAACATCAGACATCCCCAGATAGCATCTGAGATCCCCAGAACTTTCAATGGTTAGACGGTCTCAGATTCAGAAAGTCACTGAATATCAGGGTGGAAGTGACCTTAAAACAGAGGAAAGTGTCTGCTCAACAGGACCTTAGGACATAGAATATGGAATGTCAGAGGTGGGAGGGCCCTTAGAACAGTGAATGTCAGCTGGAAGGGTTCTTAGAACATGGCATGTCAGAGCTGGAAGGGGCCTTAGAACATAGAATGTCAGAGCTGGGAGGAGCCTTAGAACACAGAATGTCAGAGCTAGGAGGAGCCTTAGAACACGGCATGTCAGAGCTGGAAGGGGCCTTAGAACATGGAATGTCAGCCGGGAGGCACTTTAAGACTTAAGACTGTCAGAGCTGGAAGAATGTTAGAACATAAAGCACAGAATGTAGGAGCCAGAGGGACCTTGGAGACCATTATTACCCAATTCTTTCATTTTCCAAATGAGGAAACTGAGGTGCAAAGAGAGGAATCATTTTTACCCTTTTCAGTCATGTAGCATGGAATAGTGATTACTATTACAGGGTCATTTTCTCTTTCAGAGTCCAAGGCCCAGGTGGAGGGTGAGCAAGGAGCCTCCCAACCTGAGTCTGGGGCCCGTCATGCCCGAGGCAAACGCATCAAACTGGAACCAGCCAGAGGAAGCGGCAGCCAAGGAGAGACCACCGGCGGAGAAGGTGGTGAGGACAGTGATGATGGGGAGTCCAGACACCCAGTTCCCCGGCCTGAATTCACCTCTGTCATCCGGGCAGGGAGCTTGAAGCGGGAGACCATGAGGCCGTGGAGCTACGCGGCCTCCTACGTAGCCGGGGAGCCCTTCCACAGACCCCCTTCACCTCCCGATTCCCCATCTCCACCCACTCTGGTCCATGCTGGTTACCTAGCCCCCACTAGGGGCCTATATACCAGCACCATCCGATATGGGCCAGCAGAGCTGGGCCTGGCACTCCCCACCCCCGGGCTGGTTTATCAGCACCTCCAGAGGCTCACCGGCCCGGGGTCAACCTTTCCTGATGCCCTCTACCCCAGTGTACCCTTCCTGGGACCAGACAGGAAAGGGGACTGAGTGAGGGGGCTTAGCTGGGACTGTGGACAAGTGGGATGGAGCTGCTCCAAGGTCCAGCGTGGGCTCCCCTCCCCAGGAGTCAGGCACAGGAGACCCCTGAAGGGTAGCCACTGGCCCCATGTCACAGCTGGACACGGCTGGAGGCTGAGCCCACTCCCCTCTCCCGGACAGGGCTGGGCTTGGGGGGAGAATTAAACGGCATTCCTCAGCGCTCGCTTCCTGCCCTGCTTGTCGCCTCCATTCGGCTGAACTGGGGGTGGTTCGGAGGAGGCTGTGAGCCAGGGTTTCCAGGGGAAGGAGCAGCTAGTGGGGAGACCTGGGCTCGAATTCCCAACTGCTTCGTAAAACCTGGGACTTTGGGGCAAATCCGTCCCAGAATTCTCTGGTCTGTTTCTTCTGTTCTGATTGGGCTAAATGACCTCCCGGGCTCTGTCGGGTCCTAAATGGACGAATCTTTGACCCAGGTGTCCGGGTCGAAGTTTCCCAAAGCAGAAGTTGAGACGTCATCTGTGAGATGAAGAAAATGAAGGCCGGAGAGGGGAGTGAAAGCAGCACCCTGGCAGAGGGGAGGCAGGGAGCCGGCCACCAAGGCCTCGACGGCCTGGCTGCAGATCCCTCATTTAGTACCCGCGTGCCCTTGCCAAGTCGCTGAACCACTGGGGCCCTCCCAGACTCCTCCTGTGTAAAAAGGGGAGGGGTGGGGACACCAGAGGGAATTGTGGGGTCGGACCGGGACATAGGGACCCCCTGTCCAGCATTGGGGTACTCAGAGCTCTGGGGGGGTGGGGGTGGGCAGAAGGCCTGCTGGGGCTCAGACTCGGGGCATAGCTGGGGGGGCGGCGTGACGCAAGCCTTCCTCCCCCAGCCCACCCCCAAACCAAAACGCAGAGCCTGCGGTGTGAGTGCGGGGGGGGCCTTTAATGGTGCCCGGGCCGTGCCCGCGGCCCCTCACTTGGCCTGGCCCCGCGGCGGGCCGGCCCTGGCGGCCGGTGACTCCTCCTCATCTGCTTCGTCCGGCTCCAGCCCCGGCTCGGGTTCGGGCCCCTCCACCTCCAGCTCCAGCTGGCCCAGGTAGAGGCCCACGGCGCAGGCCCAGAGCAGGCCCGCGGAGGCCACGGCCGCGCCCCCGACCAGCGCTCCGCCCAGCGACAGCATCATGGGCCGCCGGAGCGAAGCCACGCCGGCCACGTACGAGGCTCCGCCGTAGAACACGCACAGGCCGCCCAGGAGGAAGAAGCCTGCGGCAGAGGAGACGGGACTCAGCTGGGCCGGGGCGGGGGAGGGGAGATGGAGACAGGACCCGGGAGGGAAAGGGGATGGCACGGGACGGGGCACGGGACGGGGCACGGGACGGGACCCGGGCGCAGTGGGGGAGGGCGGGGGTGAGGGGACGGGATCGGGACTCGGGAGGTGGGGGGGGGGGGAAGGCGGGCCCGGAGGGGGGGGGGGGGGGGGGGGGGGGGGGGGCCAGGCGGGACAAACCTCAGTGGGGAACCCTAGCCTGGAAAGGATGCCAGGGAGGGAGCCCGAACCGAATGCTGGGGGCTGGCCTGGGACAGATCCCAAGAGGTGGGGACAGGGGTGGGGGGCGGGAGGGGACAGAATCCAGGAAGCCGATGGGGGAGGGGAGAAAGGAGACGGGAACAGAATCCAAATGGAGGGGGTGGGCACCCGCCTCCAGGGGAGACATGGGCTTACGGTGTCAAGTCGACAGGGTCCGGCTCAGAATCTGGGGTCCAGGGAAACAGACCCCCCCCTGGGTTCTGCCTCCCCCCCTTCAGGGAAAACCAAGAAGAGAGCGGAGGGAACTAGGACCCCACTCCCCAAAGGTTCTGTTCTCTCCCCTACATGCCCTTTGCCCCCAGCTCGGGGGAGGGGGGGGGAGTGGGACAGACAGGGGCTCCACACGGAGGGTCCCGGCCCCAGCACTCACCATAAGCAGCCTCCCGGCCCATATCGCTCTGCATGAAGGAGATGACTCCTATGCCCGAGGCCAAGAGGCCATTTCTGAACCAAGAGAGGAAGGCTGCAAGGGACAGAGGGACCACGACCTTTATAAGTCCCCCGGAGGAGCTGGCCCGGCTAGGCCTGGCCCAGCAGAGTCTGAGAACTGAGGTCAGGAGGCCGGAGACTCACACTGCCTGCCATGAGTTTAGACAAGAAAGGGCACTGACTGGAGGCACAGGACCTGGGTTCAAATCCTCTCTATGCTGGTTACTCCCAGTGACCTTGGGTCAATCACTCCTGCTCCACAGGACCTCAGTTTCCCCTTCTGTAAAGTTTCCAGGTTGGTCTAGATGACCTCTGAGATCCTTTTGGGCTCTAGATGTGTGGTCCAGTGACCCTGTGGGAGCCACAGCTTCCTCCCAGAAAGAATGAGACTGGAGTAGATGGCATAGTTAACTCGACTTTAGTGCCATTCAGTATTCTCTCACCCAACCTTCACAGCCAGTGGTCATCCAGATAGGAAAGCCTAGAACGCTGGAGCTGGAGGTGGAAAGTCCTGGGTTCAAACTCCCTTCAGACACTTACTAGCTCGGTAACCCTGGGCAAAGATCATTTAGCCTCTCTCAACCTCAGTTTCCCCATCTGTAAAATGGGGATGATAAGTAAGAGCTGTAAGAAGCAGATGAGCTAGGCCAAGTCCTTTACAAACCTGAAGGCTCCATATCATGATGATTATTATCATGGTCATGGGAGTTGGGGGGTAGTCTCCTGGTACCAAACCCAGTTCTCTTCCTGCCAGTCCTTAAGATGCCTTTCAATGTTACAGCTTACACTCAGTTGGCCTTCAAGGCTTCATCTTTGCTCTCTATTTAACACCACAGTTTTTCAGAGGGACCTTGAAACACAGGACAGAGGTCTTCACCGATGAAAGTACTCTAACTGATTATACAGGCTGTCCCCAAAGTGCATTTTTTTTTTGGTGAGGTAATCAGGGTTAAGTGACTTGCCCAGGGTCACCCAGCTAGTAAAAGTCAAGTGTCTGAGGTCACATTTGAACTCAGGACCTCCTGACTCCAAGGCAGGAGCTGTATCCACTGGGGCACTTAGCTGTCCCCAAAGTGCATTTTTAACCTTAACCTTAGCTTAAAACTACACTAAAAGTTTTGGGACCCCTGCATAGCCCAGCCACTGGATTTGACAAATGAGGAAAGTGAGGATCAGAGAGGGGGAAGGAGCTTGGTGTGCCAACAGATCTGGAAACCCCATGGAACTCCCAGGCAGGCGCCAGCATCCACTGCTCCAAGTCCAGGCCTGACCCTTTACTGAAGCCCAAGGTTTCAGGAGGGGGATGTACATGGGATGTGCACTTCTATTTTATGTGTAAATTGATTTAACTTCAATTTGTGGCCCAGTAGCTCTTAGTTGGGAAAATCCTTGGAAAATCATGTCACGTCTTAGTGGAAGGGAAGAGGCGCTTTAAAAAAAAAAAAATTTACATTCAGTTTTTCATGACTCCCTCAGCAGAGGGTGCCTCCTTTCCCTCACACCACCATACAATCAACAAGGCCCAGCACTAAACCCAAGGGATAAAGCAAACAGTCCCTTCCTGTCCTCAAGAAGCTTACATAACATCTAGTATTTATTTTGTATTTGCTCATATGTCCCTGTTGTCTTCTCTGAAGGAAGTGTAAACTGGCTGTCTCCCTTGCCTGGAACACGCTCCCTCCTCTGCTCTGACCACTAACCTTCCCAGCTTCCTTTAAGTCCCCACTGAAATCCCTCCTTCTACAGGAAGCCTCCCCTCCCCCCCAATTCTAGTCCTTCCCTTCTGGTAGTTATTTCCAACAGATCCTGCTTGATTCTCCCACTAGACTGTAGGTTCCTTGAGGGCAGGGGCCATCTCTTGCCTCCCTTTGCACCCCCAGCACTTAGCACAGTGCCTGGCTCAAAGGAGACGCTTAATAAATGTGGATTGAGGGGGCAGCTAGGTGGCTCGGTGGATAGAGCTCCAGCCTTGGAGTCAGGAGGATCTAAGTCCAAATATGGCCACTGACACTTGACACTTACTAGCTGTGTGACCCTGGGCAAGTCACTTAACCCCAAATGCCCCACCAAAAAAGCAAAAAATAAATAAATAAATGTGGGTTGATTGAGTCGTTTGGAATGGGTGGCCTCTGAGGTCTCTTCCAGGTGTGGGCTTCTGAAGGCGGCACTGAGGCCTTGTCCATCTCCGTGTGCTCCCACTGCCCGGTCCTGGCAGGGTCCACCTGGCACAGTAGGTGCCGGGAAATGCGCCGTGTTATATGCTTTGCCTGGTTATGTCCAGGGTGCTCTCACCTCCCAGCAGCTTATGTGTTATCTCTGCATCCCAAACACCTGGAGAAGTGCTTAGCGCTTACGGTCTATTCGATTCCACTAAACGACCAGCCGAGGGCGAAGGTAAGAACCCAGGGCTGGGATCACTGGACCGGGTTCGGGTCCCGGTTCTGCCGCACCCTACTGTGTGCAACCCCTCCAGGCGTGTTTCCTCGTCACCTAGGGGACCTGGAAAGTCTCTTTCATTCCACCGCCAAAGCAAATCCCTTTCATCTCTCTGGGCCTCAGTTTCCCCCTCTGTAGAATGAGGGGGTTGGGCCAGCTGATCTTCCCCCGCTTCTATGCAGGACCCGGGGCCCTCCCCTCCATTCCGCACGGGACCCGCTCCTCCGTGTGACTCTGCCGCTTCAGCCACGCTGGGCCCCACTTATCCGGACCGCCTCCTTTATGCAGACCCCCTTCTCCCTCTCCCTCTCCCTCTCCCTCTCCCTCCCCCTCCCCATGAGCAGTCCCCAGCCCGCACTGACCCGTCTCATGCGCCTTCCGCAGGAGCCAGGCGTCCGCGCGGTCCAGCTCAGACACGGGGGGCGGCGCGGCCGCAGCGCGGGCCCCGGGCCCGGGGCCGAAGGCGCCCCGGCCGGCCCGGCCGCGCCTCGGGGCCGCCAACAGCAGCACCCCCCGGAAGCAGGGGCGCCGGGCCAGGCGAGCCGCCCGACCCCACCACCAGCAGCCTCCGCCTCCCATGGCTCTGCGGCCCGCCCGGCCCCGCCCCCGCATAGCTAGAGGCCCGCCGGCCCGTCCGTCAGCGGCGCGCCCCGCCCCTCTCCCTCGCTCAGTGGCCGGCCGTCCCGAGGCCCCGCCCCGCTGTCACCCAGAGGAAAGCTCTCCTCACTCTCCCAGGCCCCAGCGCCGGCCTAAGACGCACGGGGACTACAAGTCCCAGCATGCCTGGGGACTCGGGGCACAGCGCGCAAGCGCCAGAGACCCAGTTTTACTGGGCCTCGACCAGGGGCCTTTTATAGCGGGTGCAGTAGGTGCCTCCGCTCCTTCCTGTCTTCCGCGCCCCGATTCCCAGTTTTAGCCCACGTTATTCCGTCCAGCCAGAGAAAACAAACATTTATTAAGCGCTACCTGTTTGTGTGTTTCTCGAGAAGCTGCCTCTTTGCATAATTCATAGTTTAAGTAAGGAACATGCTTTGTTCTCAGCGGGAACCTGCCTGGGCCTCAGTTTCTTCATCTGTAAAACATGGGCATGGCTTGTCGCCGGGCCTGGCCCTAGAAAGGACCTAGTGAATGCTGTTGCTTGAGCGGCTAGATGACCGGCTTCCCCGCAGCCCTCATCTATCTGCCCGACGCGGGCACCCAGAGCATGCTTGGGGGAGATCCTGCCTCCCCCCCGGATCCCCTCCTCGGCCCTCCAGGGCCCTGGGTCCCTTGTTCTACCCCCCAGAGTCCTTGGGACGCTTCCCTGGCGTCCTGGGTCACGTCAAAGGCGCCCCCGCGGGCCCTGAGATGTGACGTCACCTGCTCTTTCCCATGGAGCACGGGGTAACCCAGGCCAGGACCGCGTGGCCCCGCAGAAGGTTCGTGGAATGCGGTGGCACAGCGCCCCCTCGTGGGCGCGTCCCCTAGGACCACTTTGTAGGGACTTCGGCTGGGTGGGGGACTTGATTCCCTAGAGGGGGAGGGAGCAGAAGCGGGTAGGAAAGCCACACTAAAGGGGAACCAGGTGATCCTGGGAAAGTGTTTGCTGTCAGTTTCTACGGTAAAAGTTACATCATCTAAAATATGGAAGGAACCGACTCCAATGTGTGACAGTCGTCGCCAATAGACAGATGGCCCAGGGATGTGAACAGACAGTTTTCAAAGGAAGAAATCCATATTATCGGCAATCCTATGAAAAAACTCTCCACACCGCGAATAATCAGAGAAATGCTCATTTAAAGACCTCTGAGGTTCCGCCTCCCACCCATCAGACGAGCCAAGATGACAAAATGACAAGTGTTGGAAGGGAAGTGACCCTGTTTGGAGTTTTCTTGGGAGAGATACTGCAATGGTTTGTCATTTCCTTCTCCAGCTCATTTTACAAATGAGGAAACTGAGGCAAACAGGGTTAAATGACTTGACCAGGGTCACACAGCTAGTAAGTGTCTGAGGCCCTATTGGGACTGGTGAAGCTGAATCTTCCTGACTCCTGGCCAGGCACTCCTCACATCAGGCACCACCTGATGGAGTTGTAAATTAGTCTAGAAAGCATTCTGGAATTCTGGAAAGCAATTTAGAACTATGTCCAAAAACTTGCTAAACTGTGCATGTCCTTTCAGCTATAGCCCTCCAAAGAGATCGAAGAAAGGAAGAGAACCCATATTTACACAAATGTTTATAACGGGTTTTCATAGTAGTGGGAAACTGAGAGGGGTATATTCGCTTATTAGGGAATGGCTAAACAAATTATGGTATTTGAATGTGATGGAGCACTGTTGTGTCACAAGAAATGCTGAAAGGGATGGTTTCAGAGAAAACTGGAAAGACCTCTATGAACAGATGCAGAGTGAAGTGAGCAGAACTAGGAAAACAGTTTCTGTGATAATAAAACAACTTTGAAAGTCTTTGGAAGTCTGGTCAATTCAACGAGAAATGACAAGTCAGAGGACCCAGAGTGAAACACAATGCCCACCTCCCCCCAAAGAGGTCATGGGGTAGTAGACTGCAGAATGAGACATAGACTTTTGGATATAATGTGGGAATTTGTTTTGCTGGACTGTGCATATTTATTGTGTGGTTTTTGCTTTTCTTTCTCCTTTCTGTTGTTCAACTTGGAGACAGAGAAGTGAGGAAAGTGGGAAGGAGAGACAGAGACAGGAGAGAGAGGAAGAGAGAGAGAGAGAGAGAGAGTGCCATAGCTTCCAGGCATACAAAGGAGACACACATTATAATCCACCTATATTCTGCTCTGGTCAGACAGCTGGAGTACTGTGTTCGGTCCTGAGTACCCCAGGGTAGGAAGGACATTTGCCGTTGGATCTGCAAGCAGCAAGAATGAGGAGTTTGCTGTCTGTCCCCTGCCACTTGCATGGAAAGAAAGAGCCTTTGGAAGAAAAGCTTGGGGTGAGCCAGAAGGAAGCTGCTTGTCCTGAATATTTTTTGTTTCCTTTTCCCCTTCCTGACCCCTATAAAGAGTGTTTCTCAAGGGTGTGTCCTTGTCCTTTATCTCTTCTCTTTGTATTCTCTTCCTAGCAACTTGATTCACTCTCCTTGATTCAACTAACTCAATGCAGATGATTCTCAAATATCTATCTCCAGTTCTCTCTCTCCTCTCTCTCTCTCAGTCTCTCTGTGTGTCTCTCAGTCTCTCTGTGTGTCTCTCAGTCTCTCTGTGTCTCTGTCTCTTTCTCTCTCTCTCTCTCTCTCTCTGTCTCTCTCTCTCTTTCTCTCAGTCCTATTATCTTTCTAGTAGAGACCTAGGCATGAGCTATGATCTGGTATTCTGGGAAGGGGCACAAGCCAAAGTGAGGATGATTTATGAGAATAGCCAAGACTGAACTGGTCCATGTAATTCAGTCATTTCTCTCTTCATAACAGCTCTCCTATACTCCCCATTCTCTCCCCTGACACTGTCACAGCCTGGTGCAGCCCCTGGATTCCTACACTAACTGCCTTAAGTTTCTCCCCACTCCATCCCCCATCCAGTCACTAAGGTGGTTTTCCTAGAGTACAGGTCTGTCTGATCATGTCACCCCTAATCATAAACTCCAATGGCTCCCTGTCGCCTCCAAGAGCAAATGCAAAATGCTCTGTTTGGCATTCAAAGCCCTTCATCACCTGCCCCCTCCTACCTTTCCAACCTTCATACACCTTATTCCCCACCGTGTACTTTTCCATCCAGTGGCACTGGCCGCCTGTCTGCTCCATGACCAAGACCCTCCATCTCTCTCTGGGCATTCACTCTGGCTGTCCTCCGTGCCTGGAACGCTCTCCCTCCTCATCTCCGCCTATTGGCTTCCCTGGCTTAAAGTCTCAACTAAAATCCCATCTTCTACAGGAAGCCTTTCACAGCCTCTCGATTCTAGTGCTCCGATCTATTAATTATTTCCTATTTCTCCTGTATATAACTTGTTTGTACATATGTGTTTGCTATGTCCTAATATATTATAAGCTCCTTGAGGGCAGGAACTGCCTTTTGACTCAATGCTTAGCACAGTGCCTGGCATATAGTAGGCTCTTAATCAATGATCCTTCTCTCTTCCTCACCTTGAGTTAGTACTTCTCCATTCTTACTGCCTCCACCCTAATGTAGGTGCCCATTGCTTGGACTATTGTAGGAGCCTCCTAATACACCTTCTCCCTTCTACTCTCACCCCTCATACACCCTTCATACAGAGAGCAGACTACTATTCCTTTCACACATATCCAATCAGAGTTTTCAATAGCTCCTTAATGTCTATAATCAATAAATCTGCAAGCATTTATTAAGTATCTAATACATGCCAGCCACAATGGTGATATAAAGAAAGGAGTTTACATTCTACAGAGGAAAATTTTCCTTAACCAGGCATTACTTGTCCTCTATACCCTGATCCCTTCACATGGTGGGAATCCCCTCAAGATATTTCATTTTATATCTTTTTTCCCCCCGCTGTGACTGGACAACAAGGTTTTTTTTTTTTCCTGATGTGACTTTTATAGACCAGACCAGTGCCCAAAAATAGCAATAATGCTGTCCTGTGTCAAGGCACCATTCGCCTGTGGCTGTTGATTGCACTATTTTACATCTCTATACTTACATCAATAATAGAGAGAGAGCAGATGAACAAGTTGGGCATATAACTGACTATCAGTCCAAATCACACCATGGCAATAACCACTCGGCTATTGGAGAATTGGGATCCAACAACATTTAATGACCCTGTTTGATTTGTTCATGGAAAAGGGAAGGGGAGAGGGAAAAGGTAGCTATTAGCTGTGATGAACAGTTTAGAATCTTGTCTGTATAATTCCAAATCGCTTTCCAAAATGGCTGAACCAATTCACAATTTCATCAACAATGCACTAGTGTGCCTATCTTCCCGTAACCCCTCCAACACTGATGAGTCTTATCTTTTGTCATCTTTGACAATGTGTAGAGTATGAGGTGAAACCTCAGAGTTGTTTTGATGTACATTTCTCTTATTTTTAGTAATTTGGAGCATTCTATTAAGAGTTTGCCAATCTTTTAATCCTTTGACCATTTGTTTTTTGAGGAATGGCTTGGGGCAGCTAGGTGGTGCAGTGGATAGACTTCTGGCCTTGGAGTCAGGAAGACCTGCGTTCAAATCCGGCCTCAGACACTTGACACTTACTAGCTGTGTGACCCTAGGCAAGTCACTTAATCCCAATTGCCTAAAAAAAAAAATTAATTGGAAACTAAATAACTTAATCCTAAAAAATGGACGGGTCAAAGAATAAATAATAGAAACAATAATTTTTTAAAGATAATGACAACACAAACTTATAAGAATATAAGTCATTCCCTAATTGATAAATGGTCAAAGGATATGAGTAGGCAGTTTTCAGATAAAGAAATCAAAGCCATCTATAGTCATATGAAAAATGCTCTAAATCACTATTGATTAAAGAAATGCAGATCAAAACAACTCTGAGGTACCACATCACACCCATCAGAATGGCCAACATGACAAAACAGGAAAACTATAAATGCTGGAGAAGATGTGGGAAAATTGGAACAACAATGCATTGTCGGTGGA